ACACACACCCATCAACAGTCCGGGGTTCAGCCCAGGTATGGTAGCTCATTGTGGAAGTTGTAGTCGGGGCAGACTTTCTGCACCAGTTTGTAGTCCAGGCTGTAGAAGGCCAGGAAGACGCAGATGACCTTGAAGGGCTTGGCACAGAGCCAGGCGGCGTGGCTCTGAGTGTGCTCGGTGAAGCACACGCGCGACGGATCGTAGAGGCAGGGCCTGTTCCTCCGCGCCCGGTTGGTACGCTCGTACTCCACATGGCAGTTGAAGGGGGGCCTTTGCCCCCTGGCCTCGGCCACCGTGTGCTGGAGCAGGTTGAAGCTGACCAGGCGGCTGGGGGGCACGATGCTGACCGAGACATTGCCCAGCGCCGAGGAATTGTGCCGGAAGTAGACGCTGAACGTCCCGTTGACGTGGTCGACGATCTTGCCAGTCACCAGCAGGCTGAACTTCACCGTCTTCACATTCATGTAGAAGTCTCCCCAGCCAAAAATCTTCTTGCCCTTGCCCGGCTTCGGCGGCACCTTGCGCCCCAGGCGGGAGGGGGCGCCGCCACCTCCTGGCACCAGGAGGTGGACCGGGCCCACCTGGGCCCTGGCGCCCCTGTAACCGAGCTCCTCGACGCTACCCACCAGGTCGATCAGCTCCAGGGCCCTGGCCAGGCGCTCCTCAGCGGGGGGCACCTGAACAACAGCAAAACAGACAGAGGAAGGGAGCGAGAGAGATGTTAGACAGGTTCCAATGGCAGAGGAACTGCCCGCTAACAAAACCCAGCGCCCCCCACCCCCGATGATATTCAAGGATCATTTCGAGGGAGGAGGTGCGGAGGGAAAGGGGGAGGAGGGGTTGTTGTGTGGAAACTGAGGGGGGGCAGGAAGGAAAGTGGGCGAGGGGTTGGGTGGGTGGAAAAGCACAGGAGGAACTCAGATCGCTCGATGTCGTCTGCCATCCGCTGGGCCTCCCTCGATGTTCATCCTTTGTGGCAGGAGGCGGGAGGAGGGGAGGAGAGGAGGAAAAGGAGGGGAAAAAGAGGACAGAGCGGGAAGAACGCAGATGGCTTGACATCGTCTGCCTCCCACACCCTGACGTTCGTCCTTTGAGACAGCAAGCGGAGGCAAGGGGAAGGGAGAAGAGAATGTGGGGGTGGGGGTGGAGGGGGGAGGAGTGGAGGGAAATGTGGGGGAGGAGGAGGAGGAGGAGGAGGAAGAGAGGAAACATGTCAGAAAGGAGGGGCAGGAGGAGAGAGCGGGAAGAATGTGGATCACTCGATATTATCTGCTGCCCACGGAGCCTCCCCACCCACCCCAGTGATTGTCCCAAGCAGCAGGAAGTGGCGGGAGAGAGAGTGCCTGCGTGCGTGCAGGCCACTCAGCCCATCGAGACGACTCTCTGCTCTTTCCCCGAGAGGCGGCGAACGCACTGACGTTTACAGAAACCATGCGCAGGAGGCTGTTCGTCCCCTCGGCCCCTCCTAGCCTGCTCGGTCTGGTCAACACGAAGTGCCCTTTTAGGGGAGGAAAGTGCCATCCTCGCCTGGTCTGTCCTCCACGTGACTCCAGGCCCACAGCAATGTGGCCGCCTCAAAACTGCCCCCCTGGGCAGTTAGGGACTGGCAACGTCTGCTGGGTACAGTCAGCAACACCCATGTCCCCCGAGCGGATAAACAGATAAATATATTGACTCAGTGTCCTGGCATCCACCACACACTCGGCTGGAGGCAGGGCAGTGGTGGGGGAGTGGGGTGGGGGGTTGGATTTAGTCCCATCCAAGAGAGCTCAACCCTCCTCAGCACGCACACACAGAAATTGCTGGAGAAGCTCATCAACGTACAATGGGGGAGAAGGCAGGGCAATGGTTGTGAACAATTTCTGTGATTCTTGGTCTCAAACAGTTTACTGCCTTCTCTACCTCTGGGGACTGCAGAACCTGCTGAGTTCCTCTAGCAATCCCTGCTTCTTTTATCGAGTTATCGAGTCCTACAGCACGGAGACAGGCCCTTCGGCCCAACTTGTCCAGATATCCTAAATTAATCCAGTCCCCATTTCCCAGCATTTGGCCCCATATCCCTCTAACCCCTTCCTATCCATGTCCCCGTCCAGGTGCCTTTTAAATGTTGAGACTGTACCAGCCCCCACCCACTTCCTCTGGCAGCTCGTTCCACACACGCACCACCCTCTGTGTGAAAAAGTTACCCCCTCAGGTCCCTTTTCCCCCTCTCACCTTAAACCTATGCCCCTCTAGTTTTGTACTCCCCCCACCCCCTGGGGGAAAAGACCTTGGCTGTTCACACTATTCTTGGGACAGTGTGGTGAACCAGCGGTTAGCGCTGCTGCCTCATGGCGCCAGGGGCCCGGGTTAGATCCCACCCTCGGGCGACTATCTGTTTGTCCGTGTGGAGTTTGCACATTCTCCCCCCGTGTCTGCGTGGGTTTCCTCCGGGTGCTCCAGTTTCCTCCCACAGTCCAAAGGTGTGCAGGTTAGGGTAGGATTGGCCGTGGGAAATTGTCCCGTAGTGCCCAGGGATGTGCAGGTTAGGATGGGTTGGCCGTGGGAAATTGTCCCATAGTGCCCAGGGATGTGCAGGTTAGGGTGGGATTGGCCGTGGGAAATTGTCCCATAGTGCCCAGGGATGTGCAGGTTAGGGTGGGATTGGCCATGGGAAATTGTCCCATAGTGTCCAGGGATGTGCAGGTTAGGGTGGGATTGGCCATGGGAAATTGTCCCATAGTGCCCAGGGATGTGCAGGTTAGGGTGGGATTGGCCGTGGGAAATTGTCCCATAGTGGCCAGGGATGTGCAGGTTAGGGTGGGATTGGCCATGGGAAATTGTCCCATAGTGTCCAGGGATGTGCAGGTTAGGGTGGGATTGGCCATGGGAAATTGTCCCATAGT